CAGTGATAATGGGAATTGGTCTCAAAGAGCCTGTGCAAACAGACAGCTCTCCAAGCCAGAAGCCAAATAACAATAAAGCTTTTTCCTTCTGTTATCTTTCCTTAACAATATCCTGATTTTAGTTTCTTACCGGGCAAGATCAATACTGGCAGTGAATGTCATTTTAAAAAAAACAACTGACCTGCATGCCTTTTCTCACTTGTTGGGCCGTTCTGATAATTGCTTTTATGAATAACATCAGCTCACGATTGCAAAGCTGCTGCTAGCACTCAGGGCACCTCCTGCTCATCGGGGGGGTCTCCTGTAGCCAGACGCACACTCACCTGCATCAGATATTTTGTTCCTGAGGATGTCTCCCAGTGGCAAAGATTTCTTGGCAGGGATATGCAAATACAAAGCCCAGAGAAGAACCCAGCACTGTCTTTTCCTGCAGAGATGGGTGTCAGGCAGCAGTTGTGCTTGTAAATACGCATGGAAAGGGAACAAATGTTCAGGTGTGGTCTTCCCAAAGCATTTCAGTGGCACAGAAATCAAAGTCCCCTTTTCAAGAGTGCCAAGAACTGTGGCTCGGATCCCCTGAGGTACACAGGTCCGAAACTTCTTGGTTTTGAGGGAGAAATCAGGCACCCAATTACTCTGATGGATCTGAGCCTTTACCTGCTAAGAACTTGGTACCAAACTCAGAACCTGGCCTTCCAAATATCCATTTAAGATTCAAGGTGTCTGTTCCCACCAGTTAAATCTCCAAGGTACCCGCTTTTCTGCTAATCTGGGTAACCAACCGCATCCAAGAGCATCCCATGCTGAGTATCCGTGTTCATGAGCTATCCCATGCCAGCTATCCTCATCTCTCCCACCCAGCTGCAGAACCGGCCTAATCAAGAAGCATCCCATAAACGAGTTTCACCTGGCGCGTTCCAATCGCCAATATCGCAATACTAAATCTGAAGATGCGATAAAGGACACATTCACTTTCGGAGCTCCGGATGCCGGAAAGGGGAAAAAATAAATAACTAAAAAAAAATAAAAATTAAAGCAAGCAGCAAACCTTTAACAGCCAGCCCGTGGTGAATAGGTCAAAACCGCCCGGGGTTTGAAGCCTAATTTGGGGAAAATCGCGGCGGTCCGATACGACACCCGGTGGCGCTGTCGCCAAGGGAACCGCGCCCCCCGCCGGTGTTCGGTCCCC